AAAGATGAGGACGAGAAGAGTAAATTTAGTTGAGGATATACTGGGTTAAAAGTGCTGATAGTGAATCTTGGAGATGTCCAACATCTAATTGGTTTATTATGCTCTGGATCCTAGCACAGATCAGAGATAGTCACTAACATAACTGAAAAACATACAACTGTTAAGGTAGAAAGTACAGTGAGAGAAAGAAGAGACCTATGGACCACTTAACTTTGGGCACATATACCGAGAAGGCAGGCAATGAAAGAAGATCCAGTAAAGAAAGAAGAGAAGGGATGTGAGGGCAATCTGGCTGCAACATCTGTCACCCCACTGATCGCCAGGGTTGATTTGTCTGATGTGGCAGGCTAGGCCGGTGTCCACTTCCCCCTCATCACTCCATGTGTGACCCTTCTGAAGCTGCATGCTCAGTAGAAGAGGACGGCCACCCCCGACAGAGGAGGGCCGTTTTCTCAGTCAAGGGTATACGAGTAGCTGCACTCCCCTGCTAGAACCTCCAAATGAGCTCTCAAGAAAGAAGAGAAGGAGAGAGGGAAGGAAGGAGGGAAAGAAGGCAGGAAGGCAGGCAGGCCAGCCAAGAAAAAAAAAGGGAGAAAATCAGAATACAATAATATAGAAACCAACAATGGAAGATTTTAATTAAAAAAGACTTAACCAACAAAATTGAATGCTTCAAGAGTTTGGGAAGGATGACAGAACCCACTGGAATTGACAGAAAATTACTGATTTTAAGAAAGCTCTTTTTGAAGAGAAAACATTTTAACAGGTTAATGAGTGACTTAGGAAAATGGTACAGAGAAAAGAGCTCTTTACTAGGAATCAAAGGGCCTGGGTTCCACCTTGGCCCTGCTGTTAAGTAGTCTTATGGCCATTTAACCTTTCTTAAACTGTTTCCTAGTCTTCAAAATTCTATAAAATCTCTTCCAACTCTCACTTTCAGAGATTCACACAGGCTCCCTATATATTTAAACCACATGGAGATATTGAGCTACAAATCCTTATCAGACTTAGGCAAATTTTGCAACTTGTAACTGATGTAAAAGTAAAGCAGAATCTTAGTGTTTCTCAATACAGAGACATCAAAACTACATTCATAGATTTCCTTAGAGCAAACCAAGCTCATGAAGTCCCTTCCCCCAGCCTCCTTCCACTCCCAGTCTACCGTCCTTTACATTTAAAAATTGAGCTATTATCCTTATTTGATCCATTGACTTATTCTATTGCTTGAAATCAGAAGATGCTACCAAGCTGTGTGTCTAATGAAATCAGTTGGGTAATATTAACAACCAATCCCCCATACCACGGCTCTCCAGCTACATGTGATCATGGCTTTGTACAGTAACATTTCCTGGAACTCAATGTCCCATATTACGTCCTCTCAAATAAAACCACAAATAGGTTATTCAAGACAAATTCAGGCCAGGGATTTAGCTCAGTGGTTTCACCTCCTGCTGCGCAAGTGCAAGAACTCAAGTTCGATCCCCGGTACCAAAAAAAGGACAAACTCAGATGCACTGAAGGAAGAAATTTTACTTTATCTCAGGGAAATATATTTAATGGATCCCTTTAGCAATACAAACTCAGAATTGCTGAAATATTCAATACTACAAATCTTTTGATTGGGACCAATGATATGGACTAGTGATATACCCTAAGTTAGTGTAGGTGTCAAATAGTTCACTGTGACTGAGTTTTCTGATTAAAGTTCAATAACACCATGCTTCACCTTAAAAAACTCAGAGTACAATATCTTTCTCTTGCTGAGACACCAGTAGATTTTCCTGCAGTTCTCATTCCTTATTCCTCCAAGGAGGTCAGCCTGTTCTTTCTCAAGATTCTTACTTTACTTAATCCTCAATGATATTGTACAAAATAAAGGAAAATTAAAGTTCTGTTTTTCATAGGACATATAATTCAAGTCTATTTCCACGGAAAAAAATGGAAGAAAAGGGCAATTAGCATCTACTGTGTACCTGACATATGCTAAACATATCCACATACATTGTCTCCCTTGAGCCTGCAAAAAAAATCCTTGGTGATACAGCAAATGACTCCTTCACATAGGCAGATGAAATTTACTGGTAGCAAATTTAGCTTTAATTTGAGAGATGAGAAAACTGAGAGAGAGAGGTTAAGCTATTCTCTTAAGGTTAAATAGTAAGATATAAATCTGGACTGAAACAAGAGCCATATGACGCCGAAGCTAAAGCTCTTTCCGCTCTACAAGGCAGTTTGGCCCAGTGAAAAATTCACTCTTGAAAGGATCTTTTTATGCATAAAGGGATTAGTCAGGATCCTCTGAAACCTCCAGCTCCTCTCGTACGGGCGCTGGATTCCACACACACCACTTTTATTCTCCCCTTTGACTGAAATTCAGCACCGAGGACAGTTCCCAGTCTTGTTTACAGGGAGCTGTCCTTGGATTCTGTGTTACTGAGCTCACGCCCCCATTCTTGACTTCCCAAGTGGCACTGAGCATGGAGGAAATGTTAAAAAAGAAAGTAGAAGATGGGATCCTCTGACACCATGATGGAAATTAGCACATTTCCCAGGAGATCAAGATAAAAATGCATGTGAGAAGAACAAGGGAGCCCAACAGATGGGGCCATAAAATGGAGGTGGAATGAGCTCATCAGGATTCCCAGCACATGGTTTCAGTCCATACTGGGCTCTCAGCTGACCTGGGACCAGGAGACATAGTGAATGAGTGGGTGGTTACTATGCTGCAGCATCAGTTACACTAAAGGATTAGGTGGCACTGATTCACTGCTGCAGATCTGCACGACTTTTCAAGTGGAGGAAAATCTGTAGGCCCTGGTCTCTGCCACTCACAAAACTATTCTCATGGGTAGCATGAGTCAGACATGCAGGGTCTTTCTTGTGTTGTGAGTATAGGATGTACCACCATGTTGCTCGAGCAGGTTTTAACCACAGCTACAGCATCTGCTTGTGTGGTGTTTTCTGCAGTATTATACAACTAGCCTGCCTTTCCATACTTTCCCCTGGCTACAGGTGGTTTCCAACACACAGAAAAAAGCATGTTCTGAAATCTCTGCCACATTGAACAGTTAGCTCTTCTTTTCCAAACCACTAAGCTCTTGAATATAGCCAGAAGGGCTGTTAGAGTCTAGCCTAATTTCCTTATCTCATACACAAGGAAACTGAAGTCCAAACAGGAGAAATGCCTTGCCCAAAACTACTTAGCTGGTGACAGTCGGTATTAAGACTCAGACTCCTCATTCCTAAATCAGCAAATTTTCCACTGCACTACAAAGATAAAATATAACTCTAAATAGCATTTACCCTGTTAACTAAGCCCTCCAATTTTACTGCCTCCAGAGAAAGTAACATCTCCAATGCCTGGCTCTTTCCATCTGGGCTTTGGCAGTTTCACCGATCACTTCTCACACTGGAATCTCTTTTAAGAAATTTAAGAGTAATTATTTTGGGATATATGCTATTTTTATGTCTTCTTGTACACTGCCTTCTTTGTTCAGGAGGAAATTAGAATTCTGGAAATACACTTGATTTTATATAATTATTAAAGGAACAAGCCTCTATTTAAAGTAGCTACAAATATGAATTATTAGTCTATGTCAAGAAAGAGTACATGGAGCTATATAGGAACAATAATAATCTATTATCACATTCAATTAAGACCTACCTAGGTGGATAAGTAAAAGAACATCAAATTTATGAGTGGAAAATTAAAAGCCCACATTCTTATCTGGATAATTCTGAACATGTCTGGAGTTGTTCCAGACATGGAATCATCTAAATGTAACATTTTATAAAGCACTTTGAAACCCTGTTGCTGTCATTATTGCAAATTGGGTACATGTGGGCTTATTTGAACTTTCAGAGTTTTGAAGGAGTTCAAGTAGGGAAGACGTAGGAAGGAGTCTACCCAAGGTCATATTTATAAGGTGAAACTGATGATACAGACCAACAGAGACATTAGCCCGTAACTCCCCATCTCCCACCCCGTACCTTTCCCACTGATGAATATTCTCACCTGAATCATACTTCCATTGTCCTCTGCTTTACATAGAACTTTTCTTATAATTTAGCAACATTGTCCTTGAAAACCTCACAACTATTTACATAACAGAAGCTATTGTTTGAAGTGCAAAGCAGGTCAGAATTGGGTTTCTAGAGATTAATCACTGCAGTCTATTTTATATTATCATAATAATTTCATTTATTTTGATACAATTTGTTTTCAGCACCAGCCTCAGCTTCTGTGCACAAGTGACAAATCCATTTGTTTCTGGTAGAATGGATAGTGTGATTAATGACCTAGCAACAGGATTTCTTTTAAAACATCGAGAAAAAATAAAGATTTCCATGTTTAATGCACTGTAAGCCAGCTCAGCCTGTAGCTGTACTTAAAAAAAAAAAAATCCTCTGAACATGTTTGTAAGTCACGGAAAAGATTTTGAGACAAATTTGCTCCTTCCTTCTGGGGTTTGCAGTGCATCATCTGTTCCCTCCTAGAATCTGCGGGCAGTGGTCTCAAATTGAGAAAGTGGGTGCTGTGAACCTCCCATTTACAAGGACGGGGCACTGTTTTCAGACGTGGAGCCACAGCGATGACTCCAATGGACATCTGCAGCGAGCGGCACAAGCTCACTGCCTAGAGGGCTGTCGCTGCCTGGCCTGGGGACTCAGGCCGCGTTTGCGAGGGTGTCGCCTCGTCCGTCCGCGTCGGCGCCTGGTCCCTGCCCGCAGACCGTGGGAGCAGCCCAGCCGGCCGACGCTCCTCAGGACATTGAGGTGGTTTGGGGACCTCGGTGCTCCCTTCCGGCGACCCCGGGACCTCGCGCTCGCGCCTCGGGGTCCGGCCCACGCGCCCGCCCAGCAGTCTGGCTCTCGGCGAGGAGCTCCCGGCCCCGCCCCTCCGTGACGCGACCCGGCTGGGCCAATCAGAGCCCGCGGCGAGCTCCCCACGCGCCGACTCGCCCGCCCCCTCAGCTTAAGAAAGGGCGCGCGGGCTGCTCCCGGCCAGACCGCTCCGCGGGGCGGAGAGAGGGTGTGCGACGGCCACTGGGCCTGACCGGGCGGTCCACGCGGCCCCTCGAGCGGCCAGCGCCCCGACGGCGCCCGTCCTCCAGCTTGCGGATGCTGAGTTAAGCGCGGCGGCGGCGGGATGTTGGCGCTACTGGCCGCCGGTGTGGCGCTCGCCGTGGTCGCCGGGGCCCAGGACGACCCAGCTCCCGGCAGCCGCTTCGTGTGCACGGCGCTGCCCCCGGAGGCAGCGCGCGCCGGCTGCCCGCTGCCCGCGATGCCCATGCAGGGCGGCGCGCTGAGCCCCGAGGAGGAGCTGCGGGCCGCAGTGCTGCAGCTGCGCGAGACCGTCGTGCAGCAGAAGGAGACTCTGGGCGCCCAGCGCGAGGCCATCCGCGAGCTCACGGGCAAGCTGGCGCGCTGCGAGGGGCTGGCGGGCGGCAAGGCGCGGGGCGCGGGGGCCACGGGCAAGGACACTATGGGCGACCTGCCGCGGGACCCCGGCCACGTCGTGGAGCAGCTCAGCCGCTCGCTGCAGACCCTCAAGGACCGTCTGGAGAGCCTCGAGGTAGCAACGCGCGGGGACCCTAGGGGTGACGCGCCGGGCTTGTGGGGTGGAGGATTCGGGAGAGGAGCGGGTACGCGGACTCGTCAGAGAGATGATCTGGGTTCAGGGTGCAAGGGGAAGGTCTCGGTCTTACTCTGGACCTTCCTTGCGTCGCCCCTCTTTCTCCCGACCTCCCTCGGGGTAACCCCCCAGCCCCTTCCCCGCGCGCGCCAGGCCTGCGCCCCAGGCTCACCGTGAACTTGCGGAGGTCCTGGCGAGTGAACCGGGACGGCCGAGCCAGACGCGAAACGCCCGGGGATGCGGCAGGGCAGCCGCCTTCCTTCCCCGAGAATGTCCACGAGCCAGGCGGGCTGTAGCTGGCTGTACCAAGGGCTGCGAGGGCGCCGCTGGAGGTCAGCTGCCCTGGGCTTCTGGTGGTTCCTTTTCACCAGAAAAGGCCGGAGGAGGTGAGGGCGGGGGCGCTAAGAAGAGAGTGCAGCGGAGTCAGCTCTGACCCCAAATGCACATCTAAGCACACCTCTCAACTTCCAAGGTGCTTGCCTACCGAGTGGGACCATCTTAAGAAGCCCTTCGCGGTTGCTTTGGGGGAAGGGATCTTATTACCGTCTCTCCTTGAAAGGCGTGCAGTTTGGAACTTTGAGAGAGAAAGCTTCAATTAATTTTCCTCTTTACTTCCCACCCTATTTAAGAAGTGTGGACATTTCTGTTAATAGCGTTTATCAAAATACCTATTAGCAAGACAAGGTTTGAATTACAGGTGGTAATTATTGCTAAATTGTTGGAGGGTTTCTTTTGGCATGAGAGCTAAATACAGTATTTCCAGCGTCTGTACATCCCATGAGTCATTACGATTACTAACACCTAACATTTCTTGAGTACTAAATATGAGTCAGGCATATTATTTAATATTAACTCCTGCAACAATGAACAGTATGAGGTGGGTTCTATTTTCTGCAATTCATAATTTGGAGCACTTGGACACCGAGTGAGGTAGAGAGCTTGCCAAGGGCTCATGGCTTAGGCAGCAGCAAGCTGATGACAGAGGTGTAAGAGAAACAGAAAGTGAAGATTTAGGAGGAGCATTAAAAACAAAGATTTCTGGAATTTAGACTCCTGGTGTTTTATGCCTGTCATTTCTCGGTGATATCTCTGCAAGCATGGTTATTTACCTTTGTGTCATTGTGGAACTTGGAGGCTGTTTTCATTTCTAGATGAAGGCGCACCAGCTTTGTGCATCACTAATTAACTCCGCAGGGAAAAAAAATTCTCCCTGTGTTTTGCTCTTTATCTGACAGAATTATGGGTGTCGGTTTAAATTTTGACTTTTTAGTTAGAGGAGAAAAGCAGCTTTTTTTTAAGAGAGGGGAAAATGAGATTCACAAGTTTCAAATATTGCAGCAAAGAAATTCTGGTCTGACTTTGAAATCCTTCCCTGAACAAACAAACCAAAAAAGGCTGAGCAGTGCAGTGCTCTCTTTGGAGCCACTGGTGAGATTTAATGCCGAGTGTTTGGAAGCTTCTCGGTGTGTGGTCGGGTCATGGGAGCTACATGTCACAATTTCCGTTCAACCAGCCTGAACATTTTTTCCTGTCTCGCATCCCCTCCTCCCTGATTACAAGGTCCAGCTCCGAACAAACACCTCCACCGCGGGGCTGCCCGGTGACTTCCGAGAGGTGCTCCAGCAGCGACTTGGGGAGCTGGAGAGGCAGCTGTTGCGCAAGGTGGCAGAGCTGGAGGATGAGAAGTCCCTGCTCCACAATGAGACCTCCGTTCACCGGCAGAAGACTGAGAACACCCTAAATGCGCTGCTGCAGAGGGTAACTGAACTGGAGCGAGGTACACAGTGCTGTGTTTGTTTGTCTGGGAGTGGCTTGGTTTCCATCCCTGTGGTCAGACACTGGATTTCAGTTTAGGGACAGCAGAGGGTCCATAGATGTTTGCGCAAATAATGAAGTTGACTGACAGTGGTCATCTCAGGAATCAGTCCCAGCCCCACAGGCATTGCCTACGGGAAAGCAAATGACCTCAGAACCACCTTGGACAAGCAGCCCGTCTCAGGCTTCCTCCTGTGTGGACGTTTCAGTCCCTTCTTATCCTTGCGGCAGTTTCTGTGCACCTTTCTCTTCCCTGCTTACACTAAAGTAGGTAAGTTTGTCTGACAGGAGTCAGAAAGGGAGGAATGAAGGGCTCTATTCACATTGTATTACCAACCCCCACTCAGGTGGCCTGAGTGTACAATTTTAAGTTTGCTGGAAGTGGATATAAGATTGTAATCTCAGGTGTGCTCACCTGACACAGGCAGTTTCTGAACACTCAGTTTCATGAATTGCTAGGAGAAAGTCCAGTGACTCTTGTAATAACATTGGTCCAGGAGGGCCAGATGGAGAAGAGGATGGGCTATTGTTCCATCCCGTGAGGCACAGGTCTCCTTCAACCCTTTCCTGATCTGTTCCTCCAATAAGGTCTGTCTTTTCTTCTCTGCCCTTCTCAGAAAAGGGTGGTGTGGCTAATCTGCCTTACATTCTCGAGTTTCCAAAACAGTTTCCTTCTGTCTGGCTTCTGCTGCTGGGTGACATCAGGGGACTCATTAGGTCTCAGAGCCTTCCCCAAAGGCAGAGCAGCTGCAGCCCAGGCTGCCCTCACTTGGCAGGAGGGGAGGGCAGCATCTTGCCACAGGTGAACTTGGGTCCCTCCACCAAGCCATAGCCATGGTGTATCTTGGCACATTTAGGCCATGGAACAGGCACTCTGTGGCTGTTTTGTGCCTTGGAAAGGATGGCCGTGGAGCCGGAGAAGAGCTTTGTCAGAGGCCTCAAAGGCTGAGCGCCTCACTCGGTGCAGTGGCCGAGTTGCCATAAGGTCATGGGTTGGTGGAGTAATACCAGGCGTTGTGCTGAGTCCTTCACTCCCAGAAAGTCCAGTTTCCCATGTCACTGGTAGGAAGAATGCCCAATTCTCAGCCAGGTGAATATCCTGAAGGGAGAGGGGCCACAGGGCCTGGGCCACTTGCTGGGGAGCTGCAGTAGCAAAATAAACCCACCAGCCCCACACGCCATTCTCTGTTCTCCGATTCAGAACCAATACGAGAGCCACAGCCTCACCTCATGCCCTTTCACAATGGCTTTGGCCACCAGGAGGTGGCACTTTGTGACTTTACCTTTCCTCCCCAGCCTGTCTACAGCCAGAAGGAAACAGGACCTCGGGCCCATCAGCCCTGGTTCTAGCACTGACTCTCTTCATCCATATTTCTCATGGAAAGCTCTCAGAGCTCCTCAGTCCTGGGAGGGGTGGGTGCACAGTGCCCTGGTGGCCATTCTGGCAGGTGACTGGCCTGGAGAAGCAGCTCAGTTACATGCTCTGCTGTCCTTTGACCTACTGCAGGAACTCTGGCATCTTTCACTGAGCCCGGTCAACTCTGGATTAATCTTTAAGGAAAGTGACCACTTGCTCTTGCTGAGCAGTTTGTTTTCTGGACGGTTGGGTTTATATTGGTCCTGTTTGTGACCATTGTCAAGGACGTGTAAGCGCCCAACCCCCAAGTGTGCTCTGAGCAGAGAATACACCAAGTTCCTTAAAGCGTCCAGCTGAGCACAGAGGAGGTAGACCTCAACTGTGTAGGAAGTGGGAGTCTTTGCGGGGTCTCTGGCCTGTGACCCATCATCCCAGGCCTGTTCTTGGCCAGCTGCCCAGGCTTCTGTAAGCCCTGCGACTGCCCTATGGCAGGTATGAGTCACAGATGAGGGACTAAAGTCACAGCCGAGTGATGCCTGCATTCCCTGCAGAGCTGGGATTGAGGGTGGTGACTCCCAAGGAAGAGTGAAGGCTCCTGCCCTGCTGAGCCAGGGGCTACTGTGAGCCCAGCAGACAGAGTCCAGCCCCTGCATGTGGATGCTTGTGCTCCCTGGCTCCCCAGGATGCCCATTTTCTTTGTTGTGAGACCTGTTCACTTGCACGGGCCTCCAGAGTCTAGGCCAGCCGGCCAGGCATGGCCCTGCTCAATTGCTGGGAGCCACATTGGCACTGAGAAGACCACAGCCCCTTCTCTGTAGCCCCAGGCTGCCCACCCTCTCCTTGGGTTTGTCCGCCACCTGCAGCTTCTGATTTATTGGTCAGGCTTTTCAATTCCTTAATTGGCTTTAACTAAGTTTCCTCTGAACCTCTAAGCTGTTTTATTCAAATAAGGAGCACCAGTCTTCAGGGTATGGACCCCTCCTCTGCCTCTCGGCTCTCCAAGCTCTAATGAAATCTATCTTTTGTCATCAAGCGAACAATATTACTGATACTGAGTCTTATTAAACTGGAAAGCCTGCCTACCTGCAAGCATAGAAGCCATTTCTCTTTATTAGATAATGATGCCTTCATTAAGGACATGACCATTTGCCACTTGAAGAATAAGTGCTAGTGGCTCTGCGTAGTGGGAAGAGGGACTTCCAGTCCCTGCTCTGTGATTTACTAGCTATGTGACCTCGGCTAAGTCACCTCACTTCTCTGAGGCTTGGTATTTCAACTCTAACTGGCAAAGCCAGGGGGTGGGGCTGCCTGTTTCTGTTTTTCTTCAGCCTGATGAAGGGCCTGCCCCTGCCCTTAGTCTGGACTGGCCTCTCCACTTTCTGGGTAGCCAGGTCTTTCTAGCCCTTGGGAGATGCTCTACAGCCCAGGTGCCTTGCTGTAGGAGGACAGGAGACTGCACAATCACAGGCACAAGCATACACTTGCTGAGAAGCCCGGGTTCTGGTGTCAGGGACATCTTCCAGAGAGGCTGGAAGGGTGATCCTGGGCCTGTTCTACCCGGAAGACCCTCCTCAGACAGACATGAGCCCTGGCCCCAAGGGGCTTACTCTAATGGAAACCGAATTTGGTTAACCAAACAACTGACCTTTTGTGGGTGCTTGTTGAATGAGTGAAGGGTGTTTGGGTGCCTTTGCTGACAGGATTTGGTCCCCAAATAAAAGGAAAGCTTTGGCAAACTTTGGAATCTGTGATAACAGGGACTGGCATTATTGAAGTAGTTTTGAACTTAAACAAAGACTGCATTGAAAGTTACTTAAATCCACTTTTGAGTTTGTTGTCCCGGACTTGGAAAGTGCTGTGCACATGTAGGTGGCCTGGGGAGCGGGAGTCCTTGCTGGGCCCAGGAGGTTCTGGAAGCAGGTGTGTTCACGTGAAGGGAGGGAATACCTCTGCATGGAGGTGCCTCCCTTTGGCCTGGGACGACAGCAACACAGTCTTCTCTTGGGGAAGAAAGGCAAATGGGGATAAAGGGGTTACGGCAAGAGTGTAGACAGCCACTTCTGAGTTATTCGTAGGGTCGAGACCTGGAGCCCAGCTCCTTGGCCTCAGTGGTGGCGATTATTTAGTATGACAAAGTGACATGATCTGACTGACTGACTTGGTAGGTGTTTACTAAGTGCCTGGGTCCTTGTGAGACTTTCCATCTCCAAGTCCACATGCTATGGATTCCAGACTCTGCTCCTTCACAGAGGCTGAGAGTTCAGGGAAAGATCTGAGGAAACAAGACCTGGCTGAGGAAAGATTATCTGGCTTAATGGAACAAGAAAATCAAACTTATCTCTAACCACTTCCTCAGTCTTTCTAATCATCAGATATTACTACAAAAATAGGGAGTATTAAGCAGAAAGGACCAGAGATCTTTCTCACTGGATTTAAAGTAGGCTCTTTTTCTGTTGTAAGAGACAGAACTAGTGCTGGGCATGATGGTGCACACCTGTAATCCTAGCACTCAGGAGGCTGAGGCAGGAGGATTGCATGTTTGAGCCCAGCCTGGGCAACTTATCAATGTAGCAAGGCTCTGTCTCAAAATATAAAATAAAGCCAGGCACATACCTATAGTCTTACCACTCTGAGGCATGAGGAATGGAAGTTTGAGACTAGCCTGTGCAACTTGACAAGACCCTATCTCAAAATAAAAATTTTAAAAAGGAAAAGACATGTAGTGCTGTGATAAAGCACTCCTGGGTTCAATCCCTAGTATCACAAAAATAAATAAAAATAACAGTTCTCTAACACATCAAGTACATTACCCACAGAGTAATCCTTTCTCCTACTTCCTTACCCAGGCTTCCTTGGGGCCTCAGACTTCCTGGTACCTCTTCATGGAGTCCTCACCCACAGACCTTTTCTCTGCCACCATTCTCCCTCCTGTGCCTCCCTACTAGGCCCTGCCCTTCCAGCAGTCACTTCTGGCCCTTCATCCACCACCTGCTGCTGGTTTCCTTTCTGCCTTCCCCTTCAGCATGTAAGCCTCTTGAAGGCAAAGACTGACTCTGGGACTGCTGGATTTCAGCACCCCGAACAGTGGCTGGCAGGTGATGGTGCCGTCCCTCTGGGCACTGCCTGAGTGTGGGGTGCAGGTGAGCCTTGCGGGGGTGAGGTGACCTAACAAGCTGTGCCTCTTCTCTCTGCCCAGGTAACAGTGCATTTAAGTCACCAGATGCATTCAAAGTGTCCCTCCCCCTCCGCACCAACTACCTGTATGGCAAGATCAAGAAGACGCTGCCGGAGCTGTATGCCTTCACCATCTGCCTGTGGCTGCGGGCTAGCGCCTCGCCAGGCCTTGGCACCCCATTCTCCTATGCTGTGCCTGGGCAGGCTAACGAGATTGTGCTGATAGAGTGGGGCAACAACCCCATTGAGCTGCTCATCAACGACAAGGTAAGGCTGCTGGGTGTAGGCCTGGGCACTGCGGGGAAGGGGAGTCTGCACCTGGCCAGGCTGGGACACAGCCCAGCCATCCCGGCCACAGGCTTTGTGCTAAGTTGGTCCCATTCTGGAGTGCTAGGGGAGGGAAGGGGAGAGTGGTAGAGCATGGAGATCCAATCAGTAAGTTTGGCCAGGAGGCAGCCGGGAGTCCAAGCAGCAGAGAGATGGGAGGAGCAGAGAGCAGGTCTCTGTGTGCAGGGGCTGGGGAGATCTTTGAGAGATCAGGTTTATAGAGATATAATTTTTACATACAGTGAAATTTACTCCCTTCATAGACATTTCAGCCAGTTTCAACAAATATATACAGTTGTGTAGCCAGCATCACAATAAAAATAGCAAACAGTGCCACCCTCTCCCTCCCCAAATTCTCTCCTGTAAATTCCCACCCCGGCCCATGCCGCTGTCCCCAGCCCATGGCCACTGCTGGCTGTTCTCTGAACCTAGAGTCTTGCTTTTCCAGAGCAAATGGCCCTTTTAATAAGCACCCAGGAACACGGTCTCCTCAGATCTGCTGTGGGCCTCCCAAAACCTCCAGCAGCCCCCACTTCAAAACTTTCCTTCCAGAGTGGACTAGCCGTAACGAAAGCACAACCCTGTGTCCTCTGGACTGCATTTCCTGGCTGCCCCAGCCGCCCAGGCTGTGCATGTGTGTGCGCATGTGCAGATGCACACAGCCCAACCCCCACTGGGATCTTCCCCACCTGCCCTGGGTGGAGTTTGTTTAAATTGGAAACGCTGTGGAGCCTGCTGAGGATTATTGTTCTAAATGACATGGTAGGACTTAGAGTCTTATTTTCCTCTCTGCTGAGACCTCTTGTAAACATCTAATTCCTGGAGGGAGGCTTTGGGTTGCTAAGAGACCAGTAGTAACAGTAGGGGCCCCTGGGCTGCAGCCAGTCTGCAGTTCTGTCCGTGGTCTGTGTGTAGCCTCCCCTCACACCGACACCCTCCAGCCTCCACCCAGGGAGAGGTCACCCACCCCGAGGCACAGAGGTCCCTGAGTGACACCAGGGACGCTTGGGAGAAGAAAAGATCCCTGCTCTGTTTTCCAAGGAAGCTGGTGCAGAAGAATCCTGACTTCAGATTCTCTGCAGAGAGCTCAGGGCCAGTGGGGAGGGTCACCTCTCATGTTAGCTCAGTCCTCAGCTAGGCTGGGACCATGAAGTGTCCAGTTCACGCCAGGGGCTCGTGCTGAGCCTGCTCCCTTCTGAGTGTCGCCCACAGCAGAGAAGGAGAATCCCGCTGGCAGAGGGGCCATGGGACTCGCAGGTGGCCTTCCACGCCAGGCGCCGGGGGTCGGGCACATCCTCATCTGCATGTGGCTGCCCACAGGTTGCACAGTTGCCCCTGTTCATCAGTGACGGCAAGTGGCACCACATCTGTATCACCTGGACGACGCGTGATGGCCTGTGGGAGGCTTTCCAGGATGGAGAAAAGCTGGGCACTGGGGAGAACCTGGCCCCCTGGCACCCCATCAAGCCAGGCGGGGTGCTGATCCTTGGGCAGGAGCAGGTGGGTGCCCTCCAAGGGGCTAGCCACTGGCCTGAAGGCTACCCGATGGGCATGACTCGTGCTGTCTCATGGGCTCAGGGCAGGTGCTGGGGATACGCCCGGCCCTGGTAGGGATGGGAGGCGGGGGGGGGGGGTAGGCAGATTCCAAAATCACATGCGACTCGGAGGGGTGGGGATGCCCCTGTGGTCATGAGGTCCTGTTGTCACTCAGGTGCCAGCTTCCTTCTGGGGCTGAGACTGCAAATCTCTGGGGTCTGCCTTTGCCAGGGGTGCAAGTGACTTTATGCTGGAGCTTGGTGTCCACTGGGTACTGGTTGCTGAGGGTCCTGTCTTTGATTTCCAGCGTAGGGCACTTAGGAAGTGCCAGGTACTCAGTCTGAGGGTACAGGAAGGAGAGAGGGAGACCTGGAACTGCCCCCGGGAGATGTACCATCTAGGTGAGGGGAGCAAACAGTTGTATTGGAAGTTTAAAGATTGCAAGTACTTTGGAGGGCTTGAAGTCTGGTCCTTTCCTAGCACGCTCCCCTCCCCTCTCCTCTTACTACTCCCCTAAGTGACTTGGAGTCAGGAGACATAGCGTAGTTCTAGCTTTGGGCAACTGTTCCTGTCTGGCCTCAGTTTCCCCTGTATAAAATGAGTGGTTTGAGTACAGCTGTGTCACAGGCCTGGCACACCCTGGAGTCTCAGAATCTATAGGATCTGATCAGAATAGGGAAGTGAGGAATATCCAGGCCCCACCCCCGTCTTCCTGGAGCATTAGCGTGTGCGTGCGTGTAGTGTGTGTGTGTAGTGCGTGCGTGTACCTCCCCTGATGGTGGATGTCCTGTCCCATTTCTCAGGACACTGTGGGGGGCAGATTCGATGCCACACAGGCGTTTGTGGGAGAGCTCAGCCAGTTCAACATCTGGGACCGCGTTCTCCGCACACAGGAGATCATCAGCATCGCCAACTGCTCCACAAACATGCCAGGCAACATCATCCCCTGGGTGGACAACAACATCGACGTGTTTGGAGGGGCTTCCAAGTGGCCAGTGGAGACGTGCGAGGAGCGTCTCCTGGACTTGTAGCCACCTTCTCCCTGTCCAGGAGGCCAGGAGCAGGCTGTTCCTGAGGGGGCTTCAGGGCCACTTACTCCCCAGTTGAACTTCGTAAAACCTCTTGCCCCAGTGGGTTGGACCCCAAAGCCTGTCCCCAGGGAAACTCTAAGACCGATGCCATGAGGCATCATTTGTCACCATCTTATTTGTTCCTTTCCAAGATTGTAGTTTTGGGGGTTAGTGCCAGAATCGCCTGGGTAGAAGTCCCAAGCCACAAGTGGGCAAACAGCTGACTTCCTGCTGGAGGTGATGTCCATAAGCCCCTCTCCTGTAAATGCTAGCGCAGCCCAGTCCTGCCTGTCCTCTCAGATCCCTGGTGTCCTGTGTGTGCCTTCTGTTTGTCCCTCGTGTGTAGAGTGCATTCCTGCTGTCAGCTGAGCACGAAGCAAAAACAGCCACCCCGATCTGCCAAGGATCTGTGCCCGTGTCCTGTGCATCAAGTCTGTCCCTGTGAGGAAGTCTAGCTGGTGGAGGGCTGGCTGCCCAGACAAACTCTGTCTTTCCCAAAGCAGGAGAGGGGTTGCTGGCTCCGAGGGGCGACCCAGACAGAGAAAGGCCACAGCAGCTGTCCCCTGCCCCTCTGCCACAGCTTCTTCAGACCCATGCTTTGAAGGAACCACTCATCTGGTGCCAAAAGTTCATATGCAGCTTCTACACGGCCTGGGGGCTTTATTTTTCCGCATCAGAAAAGAACAGCCATTAGAAGGCTCCCATTTTTTACATATTGCCACTGTGAGGAGTGTGTCCATTTTTAATCCATGTTGATGCCTGAAAGCATCTGTCCCCATTGACTGTTTCCCCCAAGAACGTTTAAGAAAATGAATGTCATTTGGCTGATGTTTGCCCAGTGACTCCAGGATGCTTAATATTTCTGTAATTTATTTTAAAGAGAATGTGATTAAGTGGGGAAATTTATAAAGCTAAATATTATATATTTTATTTTTCATACCTGTTAGAAGTGCGAATCTGTGGAAATTCCATTTGTAGGACCAAGTTGACATGCCCATTCTGACATTGTATGCCACGAGAACTCTTCTGAAGATGGAATTTTGATTAAAGTGCACTGGAAGTTGCTTCAGGCTTTGCTTCTCCCCACCTGGGGCCAAGGCGGGGAGGGGTATGGTGTTGCGGTTGCCAGAGCCTGACTCCAGTGGGCACATCCAGATGTGTGTCTGGAGGACTCAGGAGCTGAGGATGCATGGAGGAGGAAGTGGTCCAGGTGTACCCCATCCTTCCTCATGTCAGACTGGGAGTGCCCAGCAGGTTCTGGGTCCCCAGTCTGTCTCTTCAGCCAGACAAGAGGGCCCTGAGCTGCCTCAGGTGTGACACCTGTTCAGCACCTACTCTGTGCAGGTGCTCTTCACTGAGCATCTCATTTGATCTACCTGACAGCCCCCTGGAAGCGCTCGTCCTGATTCGCAGGTGAATGCACAGAACAATTAAAGCTGCCTTTGGCTCCTGTAGCCAGCAAAGGACAGACCCACGGTCACAACCAACCTATATAGCTCTGAAGCCTGCAGCCCTGTCCCTGCGACCACTTGGCCCTCCGCCTCTGCCTCCTGGTCCTTGGCTCAGGGGCCTCTTGCCACCGTAATCCTCCAGAGTTCTGTGTGCCTGCCTGGCCCTGGCTGGCATGTTGAAGCCCCCTCACCCCTCTTACCACCACTTCCATTTTTATCTTTTTACTCTGTCTTGGCAGCTGCAGAGTATAACAGTTTGCCTCCTTCCCAAGGAACAATGTCAATTATAATTAGGGAGTGGATTCTAATCTAGGGCCACCTGACTCTGTAAGCCAGTTGTACTTCAATACCAAAGCTGTGCTGGGAACTATAACCTAAAACCAAGACTGGTGGATCACTGTTAGCAATGTTGTAAATTATGATTTGGTAAGTCCTGAATGTCTCAGAGTTGGATAGAGCATGAAATTAGGCCAGGTGCCCTGCTTGGGGGCCTTTGGAGCCCAGTGTTCAGAGGCCAGTTGGACAGCAGTTTATTTTGAATGTCCTTTGTAATGAAAACACCAGGGAGTCAGACCGCCCCTGGAGAGGTGCCCAGGGAGGTTCCTCATTTCCTGTATGCAAACCTGACCTGATTCCCTGGCCCTGCCGCCCACAGGAGCAGACTTTTTACCCCCTAGCTGAGTCAGACAACTTCCTGCCGTTGAGGGGCCTGGAGCTCCTTACTCACCAGTCCTAGAGATGAGAGGACCCACCTTCCCTGGGACACAATACCCGACATCCACAACCTAAGGAGATTTATTTTGGCTCACGGTTACAGAAGTTCCAGTCAGTTCATGGTTGGCAGGCTCAGACACAGAAACTACGTGGGGGGAGGGCCTGGGAGGAGGACAGCAGCTCACAGCACACTCAGCTGCTGAAGATAAGTGGATGAATCCGCAAATGAGTACAGAACCGTCACGATCAATCTAAGAGCCCTGCCTCCGAGCACATGAGCGTTTGGGGGGCCATCCTAGATCTAAACCCTAACATCGCCTCTCAGCTGCATGATGGTGGTCTTCTGTTGGACATTTTACCTGCCTGACACAAAGCACAGACAAGAATCATCCATTCGGTCTGGTGAGTTCCTCATGCCTTGAGCCTCTCATTGGAATGAGACCCGTGGCCTCAGTTACCCGACTCGAGACCCTTACCATCTGTTTGAAGCTGGAAAACACCTTGATGGGGAGCTGGGTTTTCCAGTAAGGATGAAGTAGAAAGTTCCGGGTAGTGGGATATTCTGGTTGGTTAAGGATTGCTGTGGAAATGAGCCCGGTGATCAATGATCAGTGATTACTGAATCGAAAAATGATAAAATGCAGTTAAAACCAAGGATACTTGGGGAACAGGTCTATGTTAAAAGGAGGGTAAGCTGGGATCCATCGCAGCCTTGAGCCTCCCAGGCCCGCTCTCTTGGTATGGAAAGTCTTGGGAAGCAAGGATGTGCCCCTGGTGAGCACAGGTGTGACCATTCTGTCCGCAGGGGCTTGGGACCCTGTTGTGTGGTAGCCACTATTCTGAGCACTAGAGGGACAGCAGCAAGGAAGGGTGTCAAGTCTTTAAAAATGGAGATCGACTCCAGGGAGAATCTATGTAGATGAAGAAAATATATGGGGCACAATAAAAAATATGGTGAATGTGTAAATTAAAAAAAAAAAAAAAATATATATATATATATATATATATGTATTACGGTAAAAGACACATTGCCATTAAGTCCCCTTAAAATACTCCTCCTCACTTGGAACACATTTATCCCATCATTCTGGCCACTTTTTTGGTGTTTTGAGACAGGTCTCACTATGTAGTCTAGGCTGGCCTTGAGCTACTATGTAGCTCAAACTAGCCTTGAACTCACGGGAATCCTGCCTCAGCCTCCCGAGTGCTGGGACCCCATGTGTGAGCCACACCCTTGACCATTCTGGCCTTCTGAGTGTTTTTACAAGGTGTGATAAAAAGTCCAGTGAGTGCTGCTGCCAGGAGCCATCCCACGCAAAGATGGATTCATAAAAGCATGACAGTGTATCCTCATCCACCTTATTCACTGGACCTGGCACTGTGTGACTTCTGGCTCTTCCCCAAAGTCAAAATGACCATGAAAGGGGAACATTTTGAATCGATTCAGGACATTGAGGCAGCCATGACAGCACAACTAAAGACTCTCGGGAAAGAGGACTTCCAGAACTGCTGCAGAAAGTGGCAAGTATGGTGGGATAAATGTGTTTGAAGTGATGGGAAGTATTTTGAGAAAGATTCATACCAATATGTCTTTTACTGTAATAAATATTTTAGTATTTCATTTTACTTTATTTTTTAAAGGAGGAGAGATTTATTTCAGCTCATGTTTTTTGTTTTGTTTGTTTTTGGGGGGTTTTTTGGTACCAGGGATCAAACTCATAACCTTGCGCTTTCGAGCCAGGTGGCAGAACCACTGCGCTAAATCCCCACCCTTAGCTCCTGTTTTTTGTAGCCCATAGTTGGCTGGCTCCAAGGCAAGCAGGCATAGTAGAAGGATACAATAGAGAAAAGCTGTTTATGCCGTGGTGTCCAGAAAGCAGCTGTAATAAATATTTTAAAATTTAACTATTCACCATAGTTCTCGATTATGGCTCGTTGTTGAATACTACTCTTTCTTCGCTGTAGCTGGAGAATGAACTGAGAGGGCTGCAGAGGCAGAGAGACTGGTGAGGAGGCTGGTGTCCTAGGCCCAGAGAGAGGTGATGATGATGGTTTGGGTTAGGGCAGCAGGACAGGAAATGAGAAGGATTTAGGACAGGGATGGTGAACCTTTTAGAACTTTCAAAGATAACAAACAGCCGGCTGCAGCACGCATGCCGTAGGTTTGCCACCACCGATTGTTTGACCTGGGGTAAAGTTGTCAAGACTTGCTAATACCTGGGATTTGGGAAAGAGAAATCAAATAAGAGATTTTAAAAGGCTTAACACATTCTGAGTAGGGTAAATTCAGAGAGAGAGATCCACACCTAGAAACATTATAATCAAACTGTCAAAACCCAGACCAAGAATCTTGAAAAGCAAGAGAGAAGATATTCATCACATACCAAGGAACCTTCATAAAATTTACAGTTGAATTCTCGTCAAAATCTACAGAGACCAGAAGGCAGAGGGTGATGTATTTAAAGTGCTGAAGGAAGAAGACCATCAACTGAGAACCATATATCCAGCAAAACTCTTCAAAAATGAAGGCAGAATTAAGACATTCCTAAGTAAACAGAAATTGACCGAATTTAACACTAGTAGAATTTCCTTACAAAAATACTAGAAGCAGTCCTTCAGAAGGAGATCAAAGAACTCTAGACAGTGACTCCAACCCACATGAAAACAATAAAGAGCACTGGTAAATGTAGCTTTATAGGGAATTATAAAATAGAGTGTATGTGTCATTTGTGTGTGTAGCTCTTTTCTTCTCTGTGATTTAAAAGGCAAATGTATAAAGCAATAATTATAAATTTGCATTGATGGGTATAAATATGTAAAGAAAAATACAAAATATGATTTGTATGACAACAGGGCAAAAGAGGGGAAACGGTGATGCTTTGTAAAAGCAAATGTTTTTGGTACTATTGAAATTAAGTTAGTATTAATCTGAACTCAGTTGTAATAAATTAATATGTTAATTGTAATGCCCAGCCGTCCATTAAGAAAATAATTCAAAAGAATGTATTCAAAGAAAGAAGAGAATTAAAATACTATAACACAGAATATTTATTTAATGCAAAAGGAGGGAGCAATGGAGGAATAAAGAAATAAAAAACGCAGAAGCCATATACAAACCAAATAGCCATATGGTAAACATAAACCCTACCTTATCAGTAATTACTTTAAATATGAATGCCTTGAACACTAAATAAAAGGCAGAGAGTTTGGAAGAATAGATTTAAAAATTGACCCAAGTATATACTGCCAACCAGTGACATACTTCAAAGATACAAATAGGTTGAAAGGGATGGGAAAAGATATATGGAACAAATAGTAATCAAAAGAGAGCTGGAGTAGTCATGCTAATGTCAGTTAACATAGACTCTAAGACAAAAATTGTTTTTACATTATGGATACTGAAGGCTTTATTGACAGAGTCAGAAGTGCTCTCAGTTTGTCACATAATTTTTAGGGTGTGTGTGTGTGTGTGTGTGTGTGTGTGTGAATTAGGGATTGAACTGAGCACTTTCACACCATAGCCCTAGTCCTTTTTTCATTCTTATTTTGAGACAGGGTCTCACTGAGCTGCTCAGTATGTACTCCAACTTGCAATCCTCCTTCCTCAGCCTCCAAAGTGCTGGGAATTTTTAGGACTCTAAGGTTGCAGGGCCTTGCACTACATGCAAAGCAACACCCCATCCCTTCCCTATGAGCACCTCTGTGAATGTGTGTTGGATGGCCTTGGAACAGGATGCCATGTGAGTAATGTCATACTCATTTTCCTGGAGAAAATCCAGTGCCTCTAAAAACTGCATGCAATGGCAAGGTTGATGAGGTGCCCACAGCTCCAGGTAACGATGTGCTTACTGTCCCTCCCATGTGAAAGCAGGCTGCCGGTGATGGGCCATCAAAGTGTGC